CTTACGAGGAAAGGTTGACAGAGCTAGGGCTTTTCTCTTTAGAACGACAAAGGATGAGAGGTGTCTTGATAGAGGTGTACAAAGTGATCAGAGATACAGATAGAGTGGACAGCCAGAGACTTTTTCCTAGGGTGAAGGTAGCTATTATGAGGGGGTATAGTTTTAAAGTGACATTGCTCAGTGAAAGTGAAAGGTAATTATCAGGGACCACTGCTGGGCACAGGGAAGCTGGAGAAGTCAGTTGAGGGGAATGGAGTCTGCATGCTGGAATACAGAGGGGACAATTATTGTGAAGGGAGGAGCCACTCAATATATGAAGGTGGAAGATGATAGCTTATTTTCGGATGTGGGTTACTGTGGGAGTGGCATGAAATTAACAGTTGTAAACCACTGTAGCTTTGATGGGGGAAGGCACTGCAATGCGATAGTTAGTGTAATTAAACTGTATGGCTGGGGCTCAGAAAGTAACATTGGGAGTTGAAGACTGAAATGAAACAGCCATATGTGAACATGAGGAAGCTGAGTACTGGATGGGTCGGCAGGGAGTGCAAGGAAGAAAGGGCCATGGATGTTTGGGAAGGGGTAGGGTGCTCTTGATTACAAGCTGAGCCTGCGATTTACTCTGCTAAGAGTGAATTGTGTTTCCTTCCATTCTTATTTGAATCGTGAATGAGGAATGGAAATGGCTCCAACCACACCCAGAATGGCCGGAGTAAGTTGTTCCTTTTCTGTCTGAACACAAAGGGTCTACTTGTGAGTGACATGAGGACCTTTAAGGATTATTTGCATTAATCTGGCACTTACACAATACAGGTTGAAGGCATCGTTAACTTGAAGGCATCTTTAAATTTAGCACCTTGCAGGTGAAATGTGTGCAGTGTCCAGCTGGGTGGGATACACATCCTGGTCACAAGTAATCTTGACCATGTTATCGGCCATTACAGATTCAGCACTGTCATCTCTGGGAAGCAAAAGTCGTCACAGGTGATGACCTTAGATGTGTCATATGTGAGTCACAATTCACAAAGATAATTCAAGGTTTCATTGGCAGTCAAATGGCATGGAGCTGATTTCCTTTCACCATGCGCTGTATGTATTCACTAATGTACAATGCTGCCTTCCTTGGGTAATCTGACGGGAAAGGGACAAGGTTTTAGTAATCCTATTGCACTTAGCTATATTGTACTCTATGGCTTGTGCCGCATTCATCAGAACGTACCCTATCTCAGTGGTCCATACAGAGGCATTCCACGGGTCTCTTTGTTAAAGTCTTCCATGTCTGACTGTAAGGAGGACTATACTGAACTGCCCTTTGTGTGTGATGGAATGCTGACTCTTCATATCACTATGAACTTGTTCTGTTTTCTGATATTTTCCACACAAGTTCATTGGAACCATGACTCATGGATTCCACCAGAGCAGAGACAATTGTCGTTGTGACCATGGTGCTACAAGGCACAGAGAAATGGAGGAGCAACAGATGTGACAGCAAGCCAAGGACCAGCAGCAACTTTGAGCAGCAGCTGAAAAATCTCTACATAATTCATTTGTAGTTGAAGGCTTCCTCGGGTTTTGGGAGTAGCACAGGAAGCCCAGAGGCTATTGTCTTCAATACCGTTACCTCCAGAGCCCATTGCTGCCACAGACTGAGGATGTCCTGGGACACTGTGACAGAACTATGCCAGCTGCTGGAGTAGAATCTGCAACCTGAAGAGGTGCATGACAATCCTAATCCAGGCAAAGTGACTGTTATGCTAAATTTTTCTGATCGTGGATGCTTCCAAGTATTCACCAGAGATCTATGTGAAATCTCACAATCTGCAACATGCGCATGAGGCTGTTACTGTAGCAATTTGTGCCAGATCACACCACATTATCTCATTTCCCATGATTAGGTTTGTGCTGCCCCCCAAGCAGTAGGCTTTGCCAATGTTGCTGACTGCCCCCAAGTGCGGGCCTCTACAAAATGTACACACATCGCTTTGAGAGTGCCATATCATATTGCAGCAATCTTGATCAACAGAAAGGGTTCCATTCTAACAATGTACAAGTCATCAGTGATCATCAATACCACATCTTAATGGTCTATACGATGTTATCCTGGATGTTTGCTATGATGCCTGACTCCTTGAGAACTCTCATTGCTTTGTTTAAAGAACTGGATGCATTCTTGAGAGACAAGGGCTACCTTAGAATGGCTGATGACTCCATTACACAACCCCTGACTGAGGCTGAGCACATATACAATACAGCCTATTTTTCAACTACAAGCATTGAGGAGTACACAATAGACCTTCTGAAGGT